TTACATATATGGTGAAATTGTATATTTTGTGAGTTCTAAATTATATATATGATATAACATTGTGGGATTGAAATCCCTATGTACTCACCAGGTTTCCCAACCTGACCCACTCAAGCTTATTTGTATGACAGGTGTCGATATGAAGTTACTTACAATGAGAGATTTAAAAGAGATGTAGATCACTAGTGTAAATGAATGTAAGTTCTATTTATGCTTATGTTTCTGTATTGACAATGACATCCCAATGTTTTGAAAATGAATAAAAATACATTTCTTCGGAAATGCTTTGATAACATTTTTATCATGTTTTTCTGGGAACAAATTCCGCAACATTTTATTAAAAGGGTACTCTGATTTTTATAACAAAATGGGTCTTTTCTGGCCGTAAAAATGGGGATGTCACGGTCCATCTCTCCAGACCCTAATTTACCTTTGAGTGTTTTGAGATTAGAAGTGAACTTCGAGGGTGTTTTTGGTGATTTTGAAGGAAGAGGAACTCTTGGAAGTTGCATTGGTGTGGCTAGAGCTTGTGGATTCAGAATCATCATCAACTTGGAAAGATATTTGAGGTATAAAGCTCTTAACTTGATGGTTCGTTTTGTTAGGGCTTGTTTTTGTGCTTTTTATGGTCCTTTAATTCTTGCATGAGAGTATGAGCTACTCCAAAAGATAAGGATAATAGATCTTAGCATTTTTGAGGTCCCTTGTTCATAAAATTGCAATCTTGATGAGTTCTTATTATGGATTTTATTAAGTATTGGGTCCCATTAAGCCATGCAAAGGAGTAAAGTTGCCAACTTTATGTGTTAAGACATCATTTAGGATCAGATCTGAGAATTGGATATAATGGCTTAACTGATTAATCACTTAATGGGGTTATGGGTTGGTTATGGAGTACGTTGGGCGTACCCAGCTCGTACGCCGCATGTACCGGCCAAATTTGGCGCACGCTGGATGTAAGTCTGAGTACGTCAGGAGTACTCACCATCCTTGACTTTTGTTGAATTTTGGGTTTTGGGCCATATATGGACTATTAGGGTTTTGGTCCTTATTGGGACACTAGTCTATATGAATTTGGGCCATTGTTAGGCTTTGGGCCTTCCTAGATTTGGGCCCATAATGGGATTTGGGTGTTATTTAGGAATATGGGCCATATTGGGCTTTTGGAGCCATTGGGTTGGGCCTTGGTTTGGGTCAAGTAAGGAAAGGGTAAAATGGTCTTTCACCCTGGGTATTGGACAAGTGAACTAGATTCCTAATTAAGGTTTATGGCCCGATTATTAATTGGGATCTTTATTTGATTTACTAGCGTGATGATTTTCCATTTCAGCAGCCCGATCATTTGTTTGACTATCAGCAGACTGAGGTGTGTTTTCTCACTATACTGTAGGACATTAGGATATGTTATGTGCTTGTAGTCTTTGTGACTCCTGTTGTATGTGCTATATGCTTGTGTGCCTATTTTCTATATGTATGAGGGGTGAAATAGACCCGATACAGCTTTGTGCTGACACATGAGTTGAAATAGACTCGAAGGTGAAATAGACTCGGGGGTGAAATAGACCCGATACGGCTTTAGGCCGACACGTGAGTTGAAATAGACTCGGGGGTGAGATAGACCTGAAACAGCTTTGAGCTGGTAGATATGTATGGTATGTGGTATTTTGGGGAACTCACAAAGCTTTATGCTTACGGTTTTCAGTTTATGTTTCAGACACTTCCAGATCGAAGGAGAAGAGCTCGGGATGATCGCATCGCACACACCATATTGTTCCGTATTTTGTTGACTTGATGTATGTGGATGGTTATTGACATACTCTGATTTCATTATGGTTTTATGAAAACGTTTTGGATGATGGCTTTAATATTATTAAAATGAAATTTTGGTCTTAAATTTTGGGACGTTACAAATATACCAGGATACATAATCCAGTGGGCCGGCATTGGTGCCTTCGACCCATAAGTATAGTGAGGAAAACTCGCCTCACAGTCTGAAAGATAGTTGAAAAGAATGTTGCTCCAAATACCAACTCTACAGGTCACCTATACAACAAATAGGGACCTAATCTCAAACTATTGCTTAAATTACCCAAAATGCCCCTAAGTCAAACTTGGTCAAATCCCTAGTCAAAGTCAAAGTCCAAAAGTCAAAAGTGAACACAGACTGAGTGCACCTTGCGTACTCAGTCACTACGCATGGCGTAGAGGCGTTCTCTCCATATTACGGGGCCTATTCCGAGTACGCGCTACATACCACATTGTACGCCCGACGTACTGGACCAGCTCCCACTTTTTCCATTAAGTGCGTATTCCATTAAGATCTCATGTCCAAAGCTCAGATCTAGTCCTAAATATCATTCTAAGTCATAAAGTTTCCAACTTTATGACTTTCCATGGCTAGAAGGAGTCCAAAAATCAAAATCCTAACTTAATACACGAATCCAAGCATCATAACTCTTGCATGGAGGGAAGAAAGGGACCAAGATCACATTTTTATGGTTCCCAGCACTCAAAAAAGTCTGAACGGACAACTCTTACGGTTTAGAGTAAGCCATACTCATGAATACCAAGATTATGGGATTCAAATGCATAAAAGCTTAAGAACTAGCAAGATCTAAGGAAACATTCATCAATTTCATAACTTTATACCTTCTGCAGGTTGCTTGCAAGGTGAAAAAACTCAGATCTACAAGGCTTGAAGCTTTCCAAAAGCACTCCAAAGATCTTCTTCCTTCAAGGATGGACACCAAACACACAAATGGCTCAAAACTCACAAATGAACACTAGGGTTTGCAATGGATCGATTTGGGAGGATGGAGGTTGTAGGTGGAAAGGGTTTTGAGGGTTAAGGATGCTTAAATAGTGCTCAAACCCTAAAAATTAGGGTTTGCATATCTGTTGAGTATGCCCTGCATATCTCATGAGTACTCCCAACGTACTCACATATACCTGCGATCCTTTTTAATGAACTACACTAGGCATACGCCCCAAGTACGCATGGTGTAAGTACCAACTTTGCAACAAATTTTATACTTTGGGTCAAAATAGAAAATACCTAATGTCTGGGTGTTACATAGGCCTAACTTTCTGGTCAGTTTGGCTTGCCTCCTCTATGGATATGGTTGATGATTTAACTTGAAAACCCAACACCAAGCTATAACCTTTCCATAAATGTTTAGTGTCATGTTACTAAGTGATCTAATGAACGCATGATTATACATGGATTAGAAGCAACTTCTCATCTTCATACTAATTTAGGTATTCTCAAATGCCTTAGTAGTAAATGCACATTCACTTATGGTATTAGTCGATGATATATTTGATATTCTTCTAACTAATTTGGGCCACACCAACTTACCGTATCCCACCCTATATTGTACATTTTGCCTTAATCGTATCCTTATGACCTCATAAAATCATTAAAGATCTTATTTGTGTTAATCATTTTCTTCATGAAAAAAGATACACTATTGAATTTGAAGAATTTGATTTTTCTATGAATGACTTCACGATTTCTCAAACTCTTATATGATATGACAACTCCTTAAGTTCCCATCTAATTCATAGCATATCCTTGACATCAACGTCTTGCTGATCATGAGTAACATGTCTTTCAACATTTAGTCTTGATTCATCTAATTGCTTGTACCAATAAAAAGTCTAGCATTATGTTGCTGGTAGGTAAGCATGTTTGACTTCTATTGTTTTATCTAATTCTTTCGTGTCATTTCATTAACAAACTGTTTATTATGATATATGGACTTCTCTCCTACAAAGTCATAATGGTATTAAATACTAGGTTAGTTTCTTAGACTAGTTTTCTCCCTTTTCTTTTTGTGTAACCTTTACTATATAAATCCAACATGTTTTGCAAATTTCTTCACTTTCTTGCTTATATTAAAATAAATTCAATCATGATATTCACTATTTCCAATATGATAATGGTGACGAATTTAATAAGTCGTAGTTCCATAATATTGTGATTCCCATACTTCCTAACACAACAGAAAATCCAAACAATTAGTACTTGAAGTTATGGGTTTTCTTTCAACTTGGTGTAAGTGGTTTCAACTTGGTGTAAGTGAATTAGAGGATGTTTAGATTATTGTATGTCGAACTTGATGAACTACAAATGAGATAATTTCCCACTTGGTCTTTTGGTCAGCTTAAACATATAAAGGATAGAGAGTTGGAAAATTATGATAGATAGGTTTTATAATAAACTCTCTTCATGGAACGTGAAGATCCTTTCTATTAGAGGTCGTTTGAAACTTTTGAAAATTGAAATCAGAACTTGGAAATCTGAGTATATATTTCCTTTCCATTTTTGGAGGTCCTATTCATGTTCTAAATTTTCTTGAGTCATTGAGAGTTCAGTTCTTTTAGGTATATGATATAGGCGAACATAAGATTTCTTGGGTCAAATTAAGGAAGGTTTTAGCTTCTAAAGAGGAAGGGCGGTTGGGTGCTGGACGTTTATTCGTTGTTAATAGGGTGTTACTTTTGAAATGGCATTGGAGGTTTTTAATCGAACCAACTACTCTATTGGTGAAAGGTTATTAAGGTGACATATGGAGAAAGAGGAAGGTTCAGTTTAAACGGGTTCTCAACTAATAGACATGGAATTTGGAAAGTTTAAAGGATTCAATGTTAAGTTTCAAGTTAAATATATCATGGTGGGTGTTTTCTTTAAAAATAATGTATAGTGAAGAAACGACACCTCTTTCTAAAATGAAGTTTGAATAGGTGATGTGTTCAACAATTTAACCACTTTCCGGAAAAAGATTGTGGGTATTTGATTTCTAATAAGTGGCATGCAGAACAATGGATTGTATAGGTTGCTTTGAAACCCCATATATGGATTTTTATACTTTGTAATTTTCTAACATCTTGTTAATTATGTAAATAATTTATAATTTATATCTATAAATCAGTTTATAAACAAAAAGGTTGTCCAAAAAGTTAAAACAAAGGTTAATTTTATGATTTGTTTTATATGCATTCCAAATCATTTGATATATTTACAAACTAAACAAACATTTTATTATCAAATGGATTTCAATTCCATTCTAAATCCATCCAACCAAACACACAACACATTGTATGAAATGTAAACCAAAATCCAAAATTTCAGCAAAAATTAGACAACCCTATTCATTGAGAATGAAGAAGCACAAGATTTACAGAAATGAAATGTAAATTACATGGTGATAACTCTCAATTTCACAATGTTGATTGCAAACTAATCTCATTATCATTATTAATGTAGCGATCTGATCTTACCTAATAATTTGATCATGAGGTTTTATGTTGTGACCAATATTCATTAACAAGCTGTGCAAATAAAGAATCTGGCTGGCTCATCAATTTCGAGGGTTCATCATACTCCATCACCTTTCCTGTAATTTACAAACAAGGTAAAATATTAAAAGTTGCAAAAATAAATAAATAAATAAAATTATGCTGCAACTTTTCTTTCCATTCTAGATGAAAAAAAAAACTCACCATCCTTCATAACAAGTACCATTGAGCAGTCTATAACAGTTGGTATTCTGTGTGCAACTGTAATTACTGTGCAATCTTGAAATTCTTCCCGAATAGTTTTCTGTATGATTGTGTCAGTTGCATTATCGATTGAAGCTGTGGCTTCATCAAGTACAAGTATCTTTCGCCTTTTCAAAAGAGCTCTTCCTAAACAAAACAGTTGCCGTTGTCCCAAACTCCAATTCGATCCATCTTGCACAACTGTAATAATAATAATCCAACACATAATGGAATGTCAGTTTTGGTTTTCGATCCATAGGGGAAGGGTTTTTTTTAAAAAAAATTCTTGATGGAATGGAATGATATACTATTGCTATAGATTACTTTTATTTAGATAACTTTAGGCAAATTGGAAAAAATAGTAGCATTCCAATACCTTGTTCAAGCCAAGGTAATCACCCATTCCATTACCTTGTTCATTCCATTCCATCATACCAATCAAAACAGACACTAAGTTAATAAATAAATCTTCTTAAATCTTACCCAACGAGTCCAACCCATCTTTTTTGTCTTGAATTGCATCTCGAAGTTGGCATTTTTCAAGAACCTAGAAAAAGACAAAAAGTGTTACAGTTTGACTGTAATTTTGATTATCAAGTGTTTTAATTTACCTGCCATAGTTCTTGATCACTATGTTCTCCAAGAGGATCAAGATTATATCGAATGGATCCATTGAATAAAGTTGGTTCTTGTGGAATAATACCAAAATTTGATCGAAGGTCATGGAGTCCAATTGTAGTAATATCTAATTCATCTATAATGATTCTTCCCTCTGTAGGTTCAACTAGGCGAAACAAAGCACTGATTAAAGTTGTTTTTCCACTCCCTGTCCTTCCAACAATTCCAATTTTGTTTCCTCCTTCAAATACACAATTGATTCCTTGAAGAACCAATGGGGAATTTGGTTGATATCTTATCTACATTATACAAATAAACCAAATAGTCGATAAATCTTGAAAGGTTATTTATAGTGAACAACGTAATGAAAATATTATGTACCTTTAGGTTTTGGATATCGACTCTACCGGTACTTGGCCAGTTGCTTGAGGGTCGGTTGTCTTGTATGATTTCCGGGGCTTCACTAGGGATATGCATATATTGCTCTAGTCTTTCAACCGAAACTATCATATTCGATAGTTGGCATTGGACTTGGACGGAAAAAACAACAAAAACGTTCAATGAGAGCCCGTAGGAAAGAGCCATTCCAATGAGTCCTGTCATTACAATGTTTGTTGTTAGAGAAGCATCATAGCTCTCGTTAGTATCACTAACCGAAGTCTACTAGTGAGATTATATAGTTTGAAATCACTAACCGGAGTCAGACGCCTGAAAGGGAAGCAAAGTTATTGCTAGTGCAAAGCTAGCAATAACAAGCGCACATAACATTTCCAGACGTTGGATCAACCACTCATTTGCTGAAAAACTATGAAAAAATGGACTTGCATTGTTGTCAATAAGGTTCAAATGTTCTACAAAGAAACGATCTTCTTCGCCAAATGCTCTAATGGTAACCACTCCAGCAATGGATTGTGCAAGATGGCTAGTGACTAATGACTTACTCGTGCCATCTAATCGCATCAACTCCTTTGCAGATGCGTAATAGAATCTCTGTGTAAAAAAATTGGAGAGTTAACATTAGAGAAGACTTAATCTGGTAAGTTGTATATGAGTGTTTATTTTTCCACTTAGGTCCTAAGTCCTAACTTTCTACAAATTTGCCTCAAGTCTAGGAACACTTTTTTTTTACCTGCAGAAGTATGGTAAGATAAACCGTTGGAATGATAATGATCAAGATAGGCCAAGTTAGGACTGCCAAGATTCCAAGGATAAAGTACGTGTTCACGGTTGAGCCTACGGTAAACGTAAGCTTTACTGCTAATTCAAGATCCACAATGCTGAGATCCGAGGACACCTAACAAAAGTAGATACCTAAGTTTCTTGCAAATCATTCGAGCATGATAAATTAATAATATATATGTATGAGTTTAGGTAAAAAAGAGTTACCCTGCTAATGATTCTTCCCACAGGTGTTGAGTCGTAGAAGGACATTGGTGCTCGGTAAAGACATGTAATCAACTTGTTAAATATAGCAAGTGATGTGTCCATTGTTAACTTAACAATAAAATAAGATCTACCAAATAAAAAGAGCATCATCACAATACCAAGGATCATGTATACCAACACCAACTTCAGCTGGGTTATACTTGCACTCTGCACTTCCCTAGCCAACCAGAAAGTCTGTATGAACTGTCCGATTATATACAACATATGTGCTAAAACTGACATGGAGAATAAGAAGTATCCATTGCTCTGGCTAAGATACTGTTTGTAGGGTCTTAAACCTGTGTCCCCTGCTTCTCGTTCTTCTTTCTTAATCAGTTGCTCCCCTACCGATGGTTCTATCTCTTGTATCGGCTTGATTTTTTCAATTTCTTGAACTGGAGATTCGGATTTTTGTTGAGAGTTATCGGCTGTTTGATTATCTGAACCAGAAGTTTCGCTAAGTGCAATCACAAGGTTTTGGAACTCTTTACTGGATTCAAGCAATTGAGCGTAGGTTCCTGTTTCAACAATCTTCCCATCCGCCATTAACTGTTAACATATTCACAACCGATTAAGAATGGAAGATAAGAAAAACCCTAAAACGACTAGCTAGGGCTTTAGGACTCATTAGCTAGCTTACCAGGATATTGTCAAAAGCAGGCAGGAAATCGACTTGGTGAGTTACAAGTAACACCGTCTTGCTCGACAAAGCTTCCATGATGTATTCCTAGAAATAAGACAAACATTTTAACGATTTACATTTTCGTTGCAGATTGAAGAGAGAAGTGAAAACGTGCTTACTTTGAACAAACTTGATGCAGTATGTGCATCAACTGCGCTGAATGGATCATCCAAGAGGTATATATCGGCATCTTGATATAATGCTCGAGCAAGTTGAACTCGTTGCTTCTGTCCACCACTGAGATTTACGCCTCGTTCTCCGATGATTGTTTGATCGCCGAATGAGAACATCTCGATATCCTTCACAAGTGAGCATTTGGTTATTACATATTGATACTTTTCCTCATCCATCAAATTTCCGAACAGTATATTGTCTCGAATTGTCCCTGTTTGGATCCATGCCGTTTGTGAAACGTATGCCACCTTCCCATTCACTTCAATCTGAAGATCAAATTCCGGGCACAAAATTTAACAGCTTAAACTATATACTAAAAAATTTCTACCAAGTAATTTCTTATTGTTTTTGTCTTTATAATTTTATATAAAAACGTTAAATATATAAGTTAACAATGTCTAAAAAAAAGTTTTAAAAAAATGATTATGTTATTTTTCACCCATTAAAATCATTAGATTTTTTTTTAAATTAATGCTTCGCAACCCAATAATAAGAAAATCACTTTTTTTTTTAAATAATGTTTCCCTACCGGATAATTTAAGAAAATCAGTTGTATATTTATGTGGAATTAAAAGAATTACATGACATTATATATTTTCAGAATTTGTAATTGTTGTTTTATATTTTAATTTTTTAACTACATATAGACCATAACCAAAATCATAAAATATAATCGTTTTAGTGCACATAAAAATAGTTTAATAGTTCTCTTTTTAAGAGAATAATACATAGAGTTTTTATGGCTTTAAATTTATAAAATATGAAACTAATCATATTATCATAATGTACAGTGTATTTAAATAAAATAAACATTATTTGCAAAATAACTACTAAGTCGGAAATACGGAATTCTAGACTAACAAAAATCATTTATTCTGACAAAAAAAATACATTTTAAACTGAAATTTTGGAGTTCAGAAAAAAAAAAACTTCAAATTTTCAATATCAAGTCCGAAATCCGATTTCTGCTGTTCCAAAAAAAAAAGTCTGAAATCCGATAAACAATTCCAAAATTTCAAGAAAAAATTCGTTTTGTACTAAATTTCAACAAAAAGCTAAACAAACACAGTAAATGATATATATATATATATATATATATATATATATATATATAAATCATAAAAATGCATTAACAAATACTTAGAGATCACAAATCTTTTTTTTTTGACTTTATATTATGAAAAATCGCAGTTTTTTAGATAATTTCGTTGAAACTTTTTATGAAAAAAAAATCGATTTTTTAATTTTTTTTTCAGCGAATTTATAAAAAAATGCTGCGATTTATCATAATATAAAGTAAAAAAAAACGATTTGTGATCTCTAAGTATTTTTTATGAATTTTTAGGATTTTTAGGATTTTTTTGTTTTCCATATATATATATATATATATATATATATATATATATATATATATATATATATATATAATACTAGGGCTTAAAAACAAACATATGATTGAAAACCAGAAATATTAAACACTTCAAAATATATATTTTGAACATAAGTAAACAAATTTCTTTAAAAAAATTTGCAAACGAAAGAAAAAAAAAACACTCCCAAATTTGAAGAAGTTCGGAATAAAACAATTGTGAGAAGAAAGTCATTTTTTAAACACTAAAAAAATGATTATTTTAAAGAAAAAACTCATTTAAAATAGTTAGTTTACTTAATTTCTTGTTAATATTTTATTGCTATGTCATAACAGCATATTTACATGTTCTAAAATATATCCCTATATCAAGAAACCTTTTATAATGAACATTTTTTGTAATAAATTAAAGATACAAATTTTACAATGCATTTGTAATTCTTTTGTAAAATTAAAAACAAGTTTAACAATTTAACTATTGATTTTTTTATTATGTGTTTTGACGAAGCATATATAATATTTAGTTTATTTATTAAATTAAAAAATATACATCATAATTTTTTAACAAAACATAGCAATTATTAGTCTCATTTAGTATAAATTTTTTAATGTAGTTTTCTATTTCTCTACTTGAATACAATGAATCAAAAAGGACAACAATCATTCCAAGCCAACAACCCACCACCTATTAGGCTTGAGGAAGTGGCATTGTCGCCAAAACACTCGCTACCCATTTCTACACCATCATTTAAGATTCGCTAGTGATGGATCACTACAGACATAACGAGAAAAGAGAGAAAGAAAAGGTTGGTTGTGATTGGTTGTGGTTATTTTCTGTTTCTTTTTTATTTTTTTTTCAAAACAAATCCTATTAAACTCCTTTCACTACCACTCTTTATCTCTTTCAACCTATACACACTAAACTTACGTGACAATATAAAAACCTATGTGGCAATAAAAAATCTTACATGACAATGTGTTGGGAGTACTAGTACTCCCTCCGACCTTAATGGGAATCTAAGATTTGGACTCTTCCATCAATTTTTGGGATCATCATTTATCGATCCTCTCAAATGTTCAACTTACATCAAATCCTATTTATTTTATGCTGTTTTTTTGGTCAATATCTCTTCGGATGCTACTAAATAAGGAAATTTCTATACGTACCTCACAAATTGCTTATCGTACTCATCCTCTCATGTGAGTGTAATAATGTTTGTGTGCCCCCAATGATGTGACGATTTATGTGAATGAGGGGTACATATAGTAGCACCCCTAAATAAACACCTAAAACACTCTATTTTATAAGTCAACTCTATTATGCTAAAAAAAACACCCTACTTAGTCAAATCTTTGAAACCGTAACATTGAAAACTGAAAATAATGTAAAACATGCAGTCTTTTTTTTCTTTTAATCTGATAAAATTTTGATTTTGTTTAATATTTTTGATAAGTAATCCAAAAACACAGCAATTACTATCGACGACATCCATTACAGATGACGGAAACCATCACTGCCGACGACAACCATCACCATCCTCAGAAACCGATCGTCGGCAACCAACAGAAAGAGAAAGAGAGTCAGATCTAGAGAGAAAGATCAAAAGTTAGACATAGATCGAATACCTACCATCGGCCAAACGTTGCGGCTACACGCCTGAACAAAAAATCCAGAGATGATGAAGAGCAAAGGGAGGGGAGAGAGAGGGAGAGAGAGAGGGAGAGGAGAGAGGAGAGAGAGAGAGAGAGAGAGAGAACGCCGACAAGTGGCTTGAGTTGTCTGGTCTCGTTGGCGACGTTAGTCCGGTGGAAAAGGTGTTCTGGTAACGACAGTGGTCTGACGACCATGATGGACCGGCGATGACGATGGTCCAAAAGGTTGAGATGGTATTTGAACAGATGCATATATGCTTTCTTGAGAGAATTAGAAAAATATGGTTTTAAAACTTTAGTTAGGGTTTTAAGTTTTAAAAGGAAGAAATAGGTCGGGCTTCATTTCCGTTAGTTTTTTTAAATAATATAAAAATATACTATATATTACTTAAAAGTAAAAAATGTAATTATTGTTTGATTATTGAAAAGTATTTTTTTAATTATAAATATAATAATGTTATTTGACTAAGGGATGTTTTTCTAGTAGAGTCTTTATTAGTAAATGAGAGTGTTTTTTTAGGAGAATGACTTGAAAGGTTAACGAACTTTCGATTTTGTTCACATTTATTCACTAAACTTTTTTTAAATATCTATTTGTCACTGAACTATTGAAATTGTTCACATTTTACCCTTATGACCGGTAACAACCGGACATAAGGGTAAAATGTGAACAGTTTCAATAGTTCAGTGGCAAATACAAAATGAAAAAGAATTTAGTGACTAAATGTAAACAAAGTTGAAAGTTCGTTTCCCTCTAGAAAAAGTTCAATGACTAAGGTGATCTTTGTTTTTTTGAAGCGAAAATGTCTGAAGTCTGTGGACCACCTCGGCAACCCTCTGTAGCAGAAGAGGTGGATCAAACGGATGCAACATGCAATAAAAAGTTTGTTTGTTTTTTAACATTTGCAGACTATTGCAGTAAGTTAAAGTAAGGTGTGAAGAGGTTTGAAGCGGATGGTCTAGTGTTGCGCCAAGCAGCACACGCGCAACAGTTTTTAAGTTAGAAGTCTTCTGAAAAACAAACAAATGCGAATGGCCAAATATTGCACGTGTAGTGGTTTTTTAGAAAAAACAAACAGCACCTAAATGTGAACAAATTTCCTATTGTATTATGTTTTAGCCAATTATTTATCTTTGTTAAATTCTAGGAACATTTGTTGATGAAGAAATCTATAAAATAAAAAAACAAAACCCCGAAAAATATATTAAAAAAACGAAAAAACGAAACCGAAATAAGGTATTTTCCAAAATTAAAAATCAAAATTTCCAATTTGATTTTGGTTTAACAAAAAAAAATGAATCATTCTCACACATAGCGCTGTTTTAATTGTTGAATATATAGCTATTTTTTTCCATAAAAAAATATATTTTTGTAAAGGTAATATGAATGGGGCGGTTTGGGCGTAACACTTCATAAAACATTTTAACGGTTTTACTTAATTTTATATGTCTAGTTAAATAATCATAAATTTCAATAATTATTCAAACTTTTAAAGAAAATACAATCTCAAATATAAATCAATTGTCCGGATAAATTAAAAATGTCTAAATTATAAACAACTTGACTTTCATTTTCGATATCCTTTTAAATACTAAATATATTAATATGATGTATGTCAATAAATAGAGTATAACAACATATATAATGTATCAATGTATATATGTATTCTTTTATAAACAACGTATATAGTTTAATGTATATCAATTTATGTATTGCATAATTTTATAACACAAAATTGATAAATATAATATCAGGATAATTTGTATACATATAATATTGCATAGTTTTACAACATAAAACTTATACATATAATATTGGTTTCATTTTTTGTTTTTTTATACATTTTTCAGGGTTTTGTTTTTTTTTTATTTCATAGATTTCTTCATCAACAAATTTGTTAAAATTTAACAAAAATACATAATTTGTTAAACCATAGTACAAGAAGAAAGTTTGTTCACATTTAGTCATTGAAATTTTTTTTAGAGGGAAACGAACTTTTAACTTTATTCACATTTAGTCATTAAACTTTTTTTCATTATCTATTTGTAACTGAAGTATTGAAACTGTTCACATTTTAGCATTATGACCGGTTGTTACCGGTCATACGGGTAAAATGTGAACAGTTTCAATAGTTCTGTGACAAATAGATAATGAAAAAAAATAATGACCAAATATGAACAAAATCGAAAGTTTGTTACCCTTTCAAGTCATTATCCCTTTTTTTAGCTTTTCCCTATCTCTTC